TTTGGGACGCTCTTTTTGAATGACGCCAGCCAACTTCTGAAGTCGAGCAGCGTAGACGACGGCAGTCACGGTGGTACCGGTTGGTAGGAGCTCATAGTACAACATTCCTTCTGAATCCCACCAACAGCAGAGAAGAACCTTCTTCTCGTGGAACCCTGGTTTCGGTTCGTGTGGCGGCAATTATCCTCGTGGAAGCCACTGACTTGCGAGTATGGTCGACGTAGAGGACCCAGCTCTCATCTCCAGTAACGATTTCCTTCAGAAGGTCCTTTCTGTACGAACGAAGAAGCAGTGATTCGCACACACTGACACAACTTGCTTTGTCAGAGTCGCTGAGCCGATGAGGGACCCATGTCGAGTAAACCTTCCAATAGCCGAGGTCGTTCGGATGGTTGCCGATGGCCATATGGGTGACTCCAAGTGTAGTCGCCAATTCGCGAGTGGTGGCGTTCGGCTTCGCGTTGAGGGCGTTCCGCAGGGCTTCGTCATCGACTGTAGATGGACGTCCTGAGCGTGGTCGATCTCCGAAGGTCATGTCGCCAAATTCGTAGTGTTTCAATCATGGAGACACCGTGGAATGGTAGACGACGTTGCCCTTGAATGCAGCGCAGATGTTGTCCGCGGCGGTTCTCGCAGTGTCCTTGGAGGAACTCGTAGTAGATGATGGGGCGAAGAGTTGCTTGTTCGATCGGAGCCATGGCTGCCAACTAATGGCAGAAGCCGCCTTATATACAACCCTCCTCCAGGAACCTCCTCTGGACCCTGAAGAAAAAGGAAGAATCTTCGTCCGAGAAGTTCAGTCCCGAGTGAAGCGAGGGGACTCGGCCCTGTCCTTGATAGTGGAGCTTTCCCTTTCAGTCCGACCAGAGTGTAAGTGCCCCAGCTCGACCCTTAAGAGTATGTCTCCCCGATAAATTCGCAAACTTGCTCTCCCTCTCCTACGCGCGCTTGCCTAGGGAACCGGATAGGTCCTTATTTGTTGTCTGTGAACCTCGTGAACTAACCAACATTTTTGCTTCTTTATATTTTGAATACTTTTGTTGGACAACTTGGTAACATTTAAAAAACTTCTGTAATAAATTTAGGTATCAAACTCGGTTGTGGGACATTCCTTTCTCGGCCGTGAACAGGCACGAACCTTTCCTCCTGATTGAAGAAAGAGATTCTGAAAAGATAATTGTCAGGCGCAGGACGCTAGGGAGCGAAATTAATTGACTATTTGTTTTCTGTAACTAACAACCTGCCGCAGCGCCCCGTGCCCGTGACAACTGTAGGACCGGTATCAATCAAGAATTGTAGGAAAAGTTGCTGAATTCTATCTCGGTGATGGGATTGCGGGGATTAGGAGCGATGTGTAATACCAGATCCCCATGATGATCTTGGAAATAGTCTTTCGCGACCTTTGCAACCACCTCTCACCTCGTGAAATACGCAATCAAAATCATAATCCCTTATTCATGCCGATGACAAGGTCGGCTCTGCATCACAGTCAGGCAAATTTGACTGATGTCCCCACTCCTCACCTTCTATCCTCCTAGTCGGAGAGAAATCCTACTCCCCCAGGATTGAGGGAATACGCAATACCGAGATGCTTTTGCCTACGCGCTCGGCATGGGAGAAAAAATCCACATTCTCGCCCCTGAACTTATAGACCTGAGTCATTTGGAGGTATCATTCCGGCTCGAAGGCTTCGTCTTCCCGGTGCCTTTATTTTTTTCATTTTTTTTTGCAGGCAGTCGTCATTTTCCTTCTTTCAATCCATTACCGTCTCTCATCCCAAACACTCTGACCATCTCTCGTCTTCCCGCTTTCTTTTCTCGTTACTTAATTCTTTCCCCCCTCGCTTTTCTTCTCTGGTATTTATTTATTTTTTATCCCTGCCTTGCCTTCCCGATCGGTTGCTACCCTTCCCGGTAACCTGGTTACCTGGTTACAGAACTTTTTCCACCCCTGCTACATATGATCTCCAGTATGCGCTCTCCCTCCTTACCGACTGGGAGCACGCCTCCGTTTTTCGGAAAAGAGGCATTTCGATATCCACCGCGATCGTCACTTCTGCGTGAAGGGTTAGGCGATCCGTCGCGCCGAAATTCCCGCTCTTCTTGAAGCCACGTGTCGCCAACGCGTCTGTGTGCCTTGTCGATATGTGCGACAGGAAGTTCGGTCACTGTGCCGATGGAGGCGTTTAGATCTTCATCCCGAGCAGCCTCCGCGGTGTCGAAGATTGTCGGTTTTCTTAGAGAGAACCGCCCGGCGGACGACTGGGCTGCGAACCTCAGCGAAAGTCAGAAAGTGCCATTTCAATTCTCAGGACCTTCCCGACATCACTGTCCGCGGCGATCCTGTTTCCCAATGGAAAATCGTCTAATGACAGTTTCACTCTTTTGACCGTAATCATAGACCTGCAGCGACGGTCTCTGTGAGACAGAGAGTAGCGTCGATAGAGCTGACGCCGGATCCTTCTTTTCTCCGAACCGTTTCCGAAACGTCTGATGGAAGTCCGCTAAAGAGTCCGTTAACAGACTCGGTCGAGCTCGGATGTGTTCACGCGCCGGTTCTTTCAGGAGGAGGGTGGCTAAGTGAAGAATTTGTCGGTCCTCGTACACTCCCAAGACATTCACAAGTTGCAGAGGCTGAGGAAAATATTCTAAGGATACTGAGCCTGGGGCTTCTCGTCCCTCGAAAATCGGGATGAATAAGGACGAGTTCGACAGCGAAATAATTAATGGGATGATGGGGGATTGGTTGAAGTGGGATTTAAGGTCGAGGGAAGTTTGGGTGTGAGAGGAGAATCCTCAGCAGGTGCATTTTCCGCCATTGATGTATCCGGAGATGTCATGCCCCGTACGAATTGAAGTGCAAAAGAAATTTCGAAAAAAATTCTAAGAGGGAGTTAGGAATTTAAGGACTACAGTACCAGATAGGCTAAAGGAAAGAGAAATCGCTTCTTTTGCTAATGAAACGTGGGTACAATGAAGACCCAAAACCCACGTCGAGAGTCATCAAATAAGTAGCGAACCCCAGGGGGTCACAGGAATGGGGCACGAATGCCTCGCTACATGTGGGGATCAGACCCAATGCAGTGAGCTGGTAATCACGTAGGTTGCGTGTTCTTTTAGATGGTAATTTAGCAAGGGAGAAGCGTCTCTTTCTACCATCTGTTGACTACAGGTGAGAAAGAAGGTATGTCCTTAGATCCACGTTAACAGCATGGCAGAACTTATTATTATTGGATCATCAGTGGGGGAATGAACGGGAGGAAAAGTACAGGGAAGATACAGCATCACGTTCGTAGGGGGAACTTGCACACAATTCGTCCTGATACTTGGACGGTTGAATCCGTTGGTTCCTGTCCGCCGACCATGGTCTAAGTCGTCGGATCATGATGAGTTCACGGCAGTTCACTATGCTGACCGGCTCGTAGTTCGGGGCTCACGCCGTGGTCCACTGAGTTGACCGGCTATGGGGGTGGGGATGCGTGGCTCGACACGCCACGTGTTGTCCAGCTGAAGGTTCAGGATGGACTGCGATGGGGCAGGGCGGAGGCATGAAGGAGCGAGTGGCCCGCTATGGCCACTCAGCAGAGGGACATGGGGACGCTTCTCTATTCATTACCTCACCTAGGGCACGAAGAGAACTCCACAGAGCAATTCAGGTGATATTATTTCTCTCTGTATTCTGGAGGGTATGAGATGATCTTATTTTGGATCATTCAATCTATTGAATAATAAGAAGTACGGTGTACTACCTGTATGTGAGTCATCCTTTTATGCGTTCAAAATCTGAGAGTGAACGCTTTCGGTCACATATTTCATGAAAATGTATCGAATCAGTGGTAAGTGCAAATATCTCTTGCAGGAGACACGCCTAGTTGCAAGGGTCTTTGGGACATTCACTCTGGGAGGCACATCTTTGGCAGTCATCAGATGCTCATTGGGACAGGAAAATGAATGCTCCTTGGATTCTGCAAAAGTTGCTACTGTCATTAGTAAGTGAAGTTCTTTTATGACTATACAGTAGTCCCTGGCTTTACACAGGGGATGCGTACTTGCTTCCTTCGCTTTACACAGGTTCTTTTTATATGCATTCGCAGGTTTTTTTTTATACCAAAAATTCAATTAACTCCAACTGTGTATCTGCGAACCACACCCTGTGCTTTCAGAATTACTGGTAGTAAAAAAAAAACAGTGCAGGTGCGAATCTGTGTAATATGAACACATGTGAAGCAAGGGAAGCCTGTAACTATATGTTTTGTCTGTTGGTTTCTGATTGCTTACAAGGGCATGACAGCTGAGTTTAACCAAATAGTCTTTGTTTCTTTTTTTTTTCCTCTACAGATCGAATTATAGAGAAATTCCCAGGATACTCAGGGAAGAGTGCTTGGCATATGAGGGGAAATGCAATGTCTTCAAATGGTTCAAGAAAAGTTCAACTACGGCACATCTTTCATTCTGTGGAGCACTGCAGATTTGATTTTAAAATATTAACATATTCCATTTGTCTTCACATTCTTTACCTTTGGCTGTACCTGTACACCTGCTTGCATTAAGACGATATGCAATATGTGCTGCTATCTCATGGAGAAAATCGTGAACATACAGAAACAACTAGGCAGCTACAACCTGTGGATCGCTGGTTTCATGAGGACGGGTTTCACAATAGTGGCAGAAAAATTGTCGCTTTGTAAGCCAATTATTCAAGAAGGCCCTACTCAGCAGGTTCTTTGGGGGTGAATGGGACACATTTGCAACACAATGCTGCAGATATGACCGAAAAACTGCAATTCTTTCATGAAAAGTTTTTAGAACCTCTTGTGTCCGATCCAAAAATAAAGACAAATATATCTAAAGTAGGTTTTCTTTCCTTCGTCAGTCTGACCTATTATAACTCTTGGGACCAGGACTCCCCGGAACATTATGATGGTAAAGGGAACCCATGGCTATTTATTGGGTAATCTTTGCTTGTATAGCCATCTTCACCGCAATATTAGGTGAGCTGAAGCTCCAACACTCACTGGATCACATCATTCACTTGGTAGTGTGATCAATTGTTTTCCTTTACCTTGCCCCATAACACAAAGAACACTTTCAGCTGTTTACAGAGATGTATGTGAAAATTAATTTCTAGCAGAGAGTCACCTTCCGCAGCACTAATATCCAACATAAAGTCACCCATTATTATTATCTTTCCTGTGAAAAAAGAATTGGGAGCAAACAGCAGGCCAGATTAGCTGACATTGAATTGATTGAATCCATTTGTGGCAAATCAACAGATGGGATTGAGATAGGGCAGTTAGTTGGAGCATGTTGAAATTATGTTGCACGGACAGTTTGGGATTTAAATAAGTCAAAATAACTTGCGTTAACATCATCGTTCTTGTGGCAGGAAGCGTGGAATTGAACAGATGGATTATCACTGAATTTATTCATTTATATTGTCAATGTGAATTTTAAAACGCACCCACTTATGTATAAATACCATCATCAAGCATAAGCTTATAATGCACCAAGAACGACTTATAGTTGGGAACCTGTGCTCAGTGGGGCAAAAGTCAATTTTCCTGGCCAAAAGTTAAAAAAGTCGAATTGTCAGTTATGATTCTGATATGCCATCCCCCAATCACTAAATAATCAAATTTAAAAAAATTTTAACTACTTTAAAGAAAGCTAAACCTGTTTTATATTCAGGGTGTCCCACTTATCGCAGACGATTTTAATCGCGCATGAAATTCTTCCTACTTGAGCAAACTAAAGAAAATTTTCCCAATATTTAATGTCTGTTTAGCATTTATTGTGACAGAGTTTCAGCCAAAACAAATTCACCAATTACAATTTATGAACTTCAATATGACCCCCGTCGATTTCATGCACTGTTTCCAATCGTGTCTGGTATGCAAGCAGCGTTTTCTGGCACATTTCAACAGTAATGTCTCCAAACGCAGCGGTAATACTTTCCTTCAGTTCGGGAATGTCCCTCGGTTTGGTCGCATAGAGTTACGACTTGACAAAGCTCCACATGAAGAAGTCGCATTGCATTAAGTCAGGAGAATAGGCCAACCAGGGCATCGCTGATGATTCCCCACCCATCCATCAATCTGGAAATTTTTCGTTCAGCCAGGCAAATCCATAATGCCAAAGAAAAATTCTGGCAAAAAATTGAATCACAAGGATTGGCTGATGATCTGGTCTTCATGCAAGATGGTGCCCTGCCTCTTTTCGGTAAAGAAGTTCGTGCCTGGCTGAACGAAAAATTTCCGGATCGATGGATGGGTCGCGGATCGCCAACAATGTCCTGGCTGGCCTATTCTCTTGACTTAATGCAATGCGACTTCTTCATGTGGGGCTTTATCAAGTCGAAAGTCTATGCGACCAAACAGAGGGACTTTCCCGAACTGAAGGAACGTATTCTCACTGCGTTTGGAGACAGCACCGTTGAAATGCGCCAGAAAAAGTGCTTGAAATCGAGGGCGGTCATGTTGAAGTTCATAGCTTGTAACTGGTGAATTTGTTCTGGCGGAAACTTTGTCACAATAAACAGACATCTAAATATTGTGAAAATTGTGTTCAGTTTGCTCAAGTAGGAAGAATTTCATACGCGATTAAAATCGTCCGTGATAAGTGGGACACCCTGTAGATAGAAAGTTGTATACTTAACAAAAACCTGACCATCCCCAGACTTCTTCAGGTTAAAAATAAACTAACTTGTCTGAAGAAAACAGTGATCTACCTGTTCAGACATGAAAGAGCCTTCTATGAGTAAACACATTTTCAAGTTGTACGATATGACATAAGTGACATCACAGTGCCTATTTATCTGAACTCTAATTTTCAATTGCTACTTCACTTAATTTGTTACACTCTAATTTGTTGCACACTGCAAAAAAAAAGTGAAATGGAGTGTGATGAAGATTTGGGCATTTCTGGAATCTAGCATATCAGAATCATGCTAAACAAGGAACCTTTTATTTTATTTGGCTAGGAAATGCTTTTTTCCTGCTGTGCAGTTGCAGAAACCAACACCTCACAAAGACAACTTTCATCTCTCCTTAAGCGTGGTCAACATCAGCACCACCAAAGCATAAAATATGAGCAAATTTTGATTCAATATCACAACTGAAGTATCAAAAGTCAATTCATCTGTCACACATCTCATGCAATCTTTGGGTAAAAGTCACAACTAATGAATTGTCTGTGACTGGGAACACAATTCTTTGCATGACTTTCATCAAACTTCATCGTGAACACATATTGTGAAATGCACATTTGAAACTTGGAAAACAGAAGCAGATCTTAAGACTGATTCAACCTGTGTACCATGAATCACTGATGATTCTCCTTTGGATGATGTTGCAATGATGGTTCCTGCAAACAGATAAGAATGACACATAGTTAACAGACAGAAAATTTGCCATTGATTCCCAAATACTTGAATTTCCATATACATTGTTACAAGGGTGTCTGATCAGTTTTCAGAAACATCTAATATGAACTAAACTATAGCTTTCATCACTACCAAAATTGGTATACAGCAGCATCTCCGTTATACCTCAAAATAATCAATGTTAGAATCAATGTACTTGGGTCATCTAGAGGGCAACACTTGCATGCTTCTTGTGAAGAAGGCTGTATCTTTTAAGTATAACTTATAAGTGGTGTTCAAAACAATGCAATTCATCAGGAATTTCCAGTGACTTGTTGCCAACCACCCATCACATAACCCTCTACAACCATCACCAGTTTATACTATGGATGTACCAACAATGTGGAATATACTTCATCAGTAGTGAAGATCTTTAAAACCCTGGAAGACCATGGGTCAAACAACAAGAAACTGGTTTCTCCACAGGAAGTGTATGTAATTCCCCTCCAGATGACAGAAGAGCACAGATTCAAACAGTGATTATTTTGAGGGTAAAGGGAGATGTGATATTTCTTTTTACCAATTTTGGTAGCGATGAAAACAATGGTTTAGTTTTTATTAGATGCTTCCAGAAACTTTTTGGATAACCCTCATGTAATTTAAATAAAAATAAAAACGTGTATCCCTATCATGCAATCATTTTCAGATGGGAAAGTTCAAAGGTTGGTGAGGTCTCAACACTTATTCCAGGGATGCTAGATACCCACCATATTTTAGAGTTAATGGAAATATATAGGAACTTAATTATATACTTACTACAATATATTTATTCCACTCTTAATCTGGATGCCAAAAAAATGGACCCAACTGTCATCTTTTGGTTTACTGTATCCCATACAGACCGAATTGAAGTAACCGAGTTCACAGTGTCACTGAATGTCCATGAAGTTACAGGACTGGAAGACATATGTCTCCCAGAGTTATAGTTCATGACTGGAATGAAGTCTGAAGCCACAGTGGTTGCAAACTTGAAACCAGACTAGTTCCTGTCACATTCTGGTCCATCTTTACTCCAGGTTCCAGGATGGAACCAGTCCACCTGACCAGCCCAGGTCCAGCATGAGAATCCAGCTGGAACCATTCATGGGATTAACTGACTCAAGAAAAAATAGGACCTTACATTTTAATACCTTTTCATGGGCCATTTGAAATGTGTTTCCAAGTAATTTTTTTTACATTTTTGCCATAGCAAGCCACACATGGCCCAATGACCATTCATTTTCAGACCACACCATTTTTTTTCAAGAAATGGCTTCTTGAAAAAAAAAATGGTGGCCAATATTTATTCTTTTCTTTAAAAAAAAAATGCTAGTAGACAACACCAGCCCAAATTATCTCTAGCTCAGGAGTGTCAAACTCAAACGAGTTGGTGGGCTGCATTCCTTACCTCGTAGATGTCTGCGGGCTGCACCCATAATATTTCACTGAAATTTGTCCTGACACTCAATCCAAGAGGAAAATGTAGAAAACAGACGGCGGGCCGGATCCGGCCCGTGGGCCGCATGTTTGCCACCCCTGCTCTAGATGAACTGACCTTAGGGTAACCTTTGCTTTACTTACCTGGTGGATCTTCAGACTGCCGTCTCCAACTTGGGCTGTTCTTCTCTGGGGTCATCATGATGCGCTCCTATGTAAAGAAAATGCCATAATAAAGCCTTACAGTTTTTTCAGTGGAAATTAATTGACAGTGATACATAAATAATATATAGACCTGAAAGAATGCTTAGTTTAGCATCGTAAATTCACAGGTTGACATGAGAGTTGAACAGTAAGTTCAACTAGCTTATGCATGTATGAGAGTGGCTTGGAAAGAATCAACACAAAGCTTCCCAGCAGTGGACTTCACAGCTTCTCTTTCAATGGAATAGAAGAGTAGGCTTTTGACCACAGGTGCCCTTGTGGTCAAAACCAGAACACTAGGGTTTGAGCAGAGTTAAAATGCATTCAACCTAGTGCACAAGTAACAGACACTAAGCCATCCAAGCAGAGGCATTATTGAAAACTATCAAGGCAGTGTCCACTTCTCTACCTCCAACATGGCATGCCCAAGTACAGGGTGACTTAAAAAGTTTTTTGACACACTCTGGTGAAGTCAAATAAAGTTTAATTGCCACTATTTCTAGCTTTTTGCTTCTGCTTATGTGCTATGAGAACCGAATTATCCCCAAATGTCCTAATCAGATCATGTAACTTTGTATTTTAGCATGAAAGCAATTAGGGCCGCCATAATTGAGCTCCATCAGGCAGGTCATCGCAATTGAGACATTGGTTACTTGCCATGTCCAGAGTGTCAAGTCAGCTGGTCTCCAAAATGGTCTAGTGGTTCCAAGAGACTCAGAAATTGGCCAACCAGATCGTCGTCCATCATCTACATACAACTGTGACCCCCCACAACAAAATCATTTGGGATCGAATTCGTCGCACCCCCCCAGAGTTCAGCATGAAAATTAGCAGCTGAGTTTGGAATCAGCAGACCCTCGACAACGAACATCCTGATAAAAGTCATTGAGGCCCATTCGTACAAGATGAGAAAAGCGTAGTTCCTCACTGAAACTGCTAAGAACTGGGTTATCAGATGAAAAATATGAAACGCTGGCTTGCAGGCAACAAACATCAAGTTGTCCTGTTTCTGATGAGAAGTTGTTCACGACTGAACATGCTTTAAATCGCCAATATGATATGAATTGGTTTACCAACCAATCTACTCCATCTCCAAGTGGTAAAATTGTGAATTGAAAGCAGAAAGTTGCTGGTGTGATGGTTTAGGCCAGGATCACTGCCAACGGGCAAAGGCCATTGATTCTCATGGATCAGGGGTGAAAATCAATGCTGAGGTCTACAAGTGCGATGTGCTACAGGCTGTCATAAAGCCTTGGGGTAAGAGACACTTTCATGGAAGAGAATGGATCTTTCAACAAGACTCGGTACAATCCCACAAAGCTTGCCATGTACAGAAATGGTGTCACAACCAATTTTCTAGCCTGATTACTGCTGACGAATGGCAGTCATGCTCCTCAGACCTCAACCCTCTGGACTTCACCATCTGGGACATTCTCGAGACCAAGGTCTCCTGCAGGTCCTACGATGTCACATCTCTGAAGCATGTCCTCATGATGGAATGGGAGAAGATCCCACAGGATGTGTTGCATGTGAGGTGAATGCATTCCCGAAGAGACTGAGTGCTTGTGTCCGATTTAAAGGGGCCCACATTGAGAGACAAGTAGGATGAAGGTCAAATGATGCTGTTGATCACGTCTGTTTAATTTGTTTATGCAAAACTTGTTTATGCATATAATAAAATTAAAAAATCTGAAGTCAACAAACTTATTACCCACCATGTAGATAAGACCAATGGCATAAGAAGGCCCTTCTTAAAAATTGCAGAATTATCAACAAGATTTAATATTTCAGATGTACAGATTTCGGTTGCAAGTAGGACATCTCGTGTTATTCTTCCGTTGTGTGCGGCACTGATAAGACCCCAGATGGAATATTGCATCCAGTTTTGGAGGCCTACAAATACGGGCGATTTGTTGGCGCTCGAGGGAGTACAGAGGAGGGCCACAATAATGATTAAGGAGGTCAGGGGAATATCATACAAAAAGCGTTTAGAAGTGTTGAGACTGTACTCGCTATCGGTCGAAACAACGGTAGGTCTCTCGACACGTTCGGCGATGTTAAATTGGATGAGACAAACGGAGAGAGAGATTTAGGAGTTTCTATTGATGAGGACCTCAAGTTTTGCTCGCACGCGCAAGCGACGGTGGCCAAATGCAACAGGATTCTAGGTTATATTCGTCGGTCGATTGCAAGTAGGACATCTCACGTTATTCTTCCGTTGTATGCGGCGCTGATTAGACCCCAGTTGGAATATTGCATCCAATTTTGGAGACCTACAAATGAGGGCGATCTGTTGGCGCTCGAGGGAGTACAGAGGAGGGCCACTAGGATGATCAAGGAGGTCAGGGGACTATCATACAAGAAGCGTTTAGAAGTGTTGGGACTGTACTCGCTCGAACGAAGGTTATGGAGGGGCGATCTCATCCAGGCTTTCAAGATAATTAAAGGAATAGATAATGTCGAGTGTGGTAGGTTTTTCCAGTTTGATGGCAGCAAGAGAACGAGAGGTAAAAGGGGCGATCTCATCCAGGCTTTCAAGATAATTAAAGGAATAGAGAATGTCGAGTGTGGTAGGTTTCTCCAGTTTGATGGCAGCAAGAGAACGAGAGGTAACCAACTTAAGTTGCGCAAACCGCAGGTGCGGCTTAGGTCGAGAGAGGAATTCTTTACTTGCAGAGTGGCGAATGGGTGGAATGCGTTAATGACGAAGTAGTGGCTGCGCCATCTGTGACAATTTTTAAGAAGAAACTTTATGCTTTCATCGACAGGCAAAATGGTGGGGGGCAAGGCTGACGTTAGGTACTAGACAGTAAGCAACTATGAAAGTCGAATAAAAACAAGAAAAATACAAAAATATTTAGCTTCAAGAGGGTCAGGCCTACCCTAAATTTAAGGAACGCTCGACCTCGACACGGGTTATATCAAAATGGGCAAAATTGCCTCTTGATATCACTATCTTGAATCTTGAATTATCCAACTGCACTTCTAATCCTTCCTTTTTAAGACAAAGAAGACACAGTGATGTCCCTGTGTTGTTACAGGGTTTCTCATGTTGTGTGGTACTATGCCAGCAATGCTATGCTATGTAGTGGGTGAGAACTTAGCTTCAAGAACTTAAGCATATTAGTACATACATCAAGAGCATCACATTTTAACAATATTATTCCATGTGGAAGAAAAAATGATATGTTGCCTCTATAAAAAATTATCTGACGAATTTTGAAGTTAGACAGGTGGACCAGGGTTTGAATTTTTGTCTGACCTGTGTCTGAAGTTTTGTTGCAGATCCACGCTCTCCAGCAGTAAATGATGATGCACATGTTGAATATGAAGATGCCTCCAAAAAATGCAAGGAAGGCAGGAAGTATGAGTGACTGAGAAGCTGCAACAAGATCACGATGCATTAAAAAATGCCTGAACATTTTGCAAGTAGTAGCTACTTGTAACTCATTCAGACTATGGCTGTGCGCATTTGAGGACATACATGTAACGCTATATTAAATTACTTCTTTCCTCAGAAAAATTTCAAAACAATTTTACAGTTAGATAGGAAGACTGGGTTCAAATGTTTGCCTGACCTGTTGGGAAAAATGGAATGATTGACATGATGATCCAAACCACGAAGCCACCCAGGTAGAAGGCTATAGAGTACTTGAATGATTTTTGGATGACTATAACTGAACTCCACATATCTGAAACCAGATCACAATGAATTATATTCAAGAAGCCGGAAAAGGGTTTAGCGTAGTTGATTGAGACTGGAAAGAAATGATACAGAAGACAGTGTATATAGATAAAGTGTGAGTACAAATTCACTGTGAGTGTTGGATGTCCCTCAAGATAATCAATGGGGAATGATGAAATACCATGACAAAAAAAATATATAAAAGAAAACCAGCCTAGACTAAGGAAAGATATTGTGGGGCAGAAGTGGAAAAAGTTCTTTAACTTGTTAACCAGGTTACTGGGAAGGGTAGCGACTGATCAGCAACACAAGCCAGGGAGAAAAAATTAATAACTGAGGGGAAAAGAAGGAAATATTGTGAAAAGGAGAGTGGGAAGACAAGAGATGGTAAAAGTGTTTTGAAAAAGGGATGGTATGGGATTGAAAGAAGGTAAATGACGAATGACTGCCAAAAGATCAAGCTTCAAAGAGGCACGAGAAGATAATACCGGCGGGATGAGAAAGGTCTGCCAGGATCACCAGAAATCACATCTCTCTCGAGCACTGACAAGAAACTAGATATTTGGACTAGAATGGTGGAAAACCAGGACCAAGCAGGGTGAGTGCTGCAAATGTTGGCACTCTAAGCAAATTCTGCACTTCCACCTTGATTGCTGGTTTTCGTAATGGAGCTTCCTCGTTCATATTGAGTCTGGTGATACCTTTATTATAAACTTTCTTGTTCTGCAAACCTCGAGCGCCCCAGGTCTTTCATTTCCGAGGGCCTGGGTCAAAGGTGAAGTTGGGTCAGATGTTGGCAATCTCGGCACACCTGCTGGCATAGACGGCACCACCCTGTCGGGACTCTCGGCACACTTATGTATCACTGTCGTTTACAATGGATCCAAAAATGAATGCAACAACCTGATGAAATAATACCAAATGTGGAAGAGAAGAACGAAATGTGCAAAAGCTTAGCAAAATCACAAGATTTCGCAGGATTTTCGGAGGGCGCTTAGAGAAAGTGGCCACTGTGAGAAAACTACAACAAGAAATATGACTGTTCCAAGCATATGTTAACAACATTAGTCCTACCATCTGAGAATACGTATCTACCCGTGCCTAGGGGACTAGTAGTGGAAGCAGAATTTTGACGATTGCAACGTGCTGTTATTACGCCCAGTGCCAACATCCACAGCATTTACCCTAGTTCTACCAGCGGTGCAATAATTGGATCCCTTGTGCATGTTGCCAAACCTGGCGTGAGAATGTCAGGTGATGAAGGGAAAGAGGCAGAATTAGTAGCAACAGCAGACTTCAGTTCAGAATGCCACATCCCTCTCTGATGTGCTGAGGTATTTTTACCCATCATTTCTGTTGAACCTGAACAAGATTATCTACAGTGTAACATGTTCAGGGGATCAGAACACCAGTGCTGTATTGGGTGGTCAAAGTGTTGGCATATTCAAGTATGACTTCAGCATGGGAATTTCTGTTACAAAAAAAATCAACCCAGAAGTTTCATGAACTTGAAGATGAAGCTTTGTAGTCACTTGAATTCTGGGACACACATGGCAAATATTCAGCAGAAGGAGCAACAATCGGTAGCATATGAGAAGCTGCTGAGCAAGGAATTTTGTATTGGATTGAACATTCCACATAATATATACAAGAATCTGAAGTGAGGAAACTCCTACATGCAGTATGAAGTGGATGATCGAGTTGATTTTGAAAAAGGTGTCCAAGTTGGGGAATTAAACCACAGTCGAAAGTTTGCAAGCAGCTTAATGATTGACATCCACAGTATCCTGAAGAATAAATTTAAAACTGTATTGTGCACTCCCATTCCAGCAACAGGAAGACAGCACCTTTTGCACTGATAGCAGACAAGATGACCCCATGCAGACAGACAGGGCAAATTATTGCCCTTGTGAGTCTTGTTGGAGTCACAGACATTATTTCTTGGCATGGAAATAGTCAAGGAACACTCTGGCAAAGCAATTGCCAAAACTATCTATGATGAAGTGCTGGACTCATTGGACATGATACCTGATGATTTCAGAAGGAACTTGGTTGGGGCAGCATTTGATGGGCAATATTTCATCCTCAATGCTCCTGAAGAATTGACAGCTATTGGTCAGTTGTCTGCAGGACTGCAGACTTTCACTGCCTGTAGTTTGTTAATCATAAGAGAGAGCAACTTGTACTTCTGTGTGTGCATTGCATATTTGTTACACATTGAAGAAAACTAGATTTGATTTTTGTGGCAAACATATTAAAATTATAGCCAGAGTCTCGATACTTTTGGTATGCCCTTTGTAGCTACAATTTAAAAAATGTTTAAAAAAATTTTCAAATTGTAGCTACATGTGATTGGTTCAGATTAAGGTTGTGCACATTTGAGGAATGACACATCTAATGAGCACATACATATACAGTCCATTTCTATCAAAAGATTTATTTCCTTAGAAAATTTTAAGAAGAATTTTAGAGTTAGATAGGAAGACCTGGGTTTAAATGTTTGCCTGACCTGGTGGGGATGGCATCATTTGTGGTCTACAGCAGCGAAGTCCAGAGCGGCACAGGATGAGAGTACAATATAAGATGACCCCCATGAAGAATGTGGGAGGCATGCATTTGTCAGGTTGAGTAACTGAAAATATATCACAATGAATTATATTCAACAAGCGGAAAAAGGGTTTAGATTAGTTCATTGGGACTGGAAAAAATGATACAGAAGACAGTGTACATACACAAAGGGTGAGTGAGTTCACTGAGTGCTGGATATCCCTCAAGATAATCAATGGAGAATGATGAAATACCATGACAAAAAAAAAGAAAACCAATCTAGACAAAGGAAAGATACTGTGGGCTTTCATAAAAGGTGGGGCGTGAAAGGGCTTCATGTAGTGAGGGCAGGTAAAAGATTATTTCTGGCCTAAGGTGTAAATGATGATTAAAAAGGGAAGCCTTGAAGGACCTATAGTTAGTGATGAGTCTTGAGTGTGGAGGGATGGAGTTCCATCTGGATATTCCTCTGTCAGAAGGTTATATGTGAGTTAATCCTTTTTATAGCACAATGGGATAATATTTTCCCACACCCTCTAATGAGAACGAACACTGGGATATTATCTTCCCTTATGCGCAATAGCTTTCAGAGAGCCATCATGGATGCTGACTGTTAAATGATGGTATTTAGGGAACCTTTCTTTGTCAAAAATTGTGTTATTCATTACTAGAGACCTCTAATGAGTACAAAAATAAAATTTAATGTTGAGTCAAGTAGCAAGTCTTTTCTCCTATCAAGGGTTAAACTCTGCTGCATTTCACTTAAATTTTGTAGGAGGTTTTCCTTGGAGTGCATAGTGTAAGGGTGGGGGAATTTTAAGAAGAATTTTAGAGTTAGACAGGACAACCTGGGTTTAAATGTTTGCCTGACCTGGTGGGGATGGCATCATTTGTGGTCTACAGCGGCGAAGTGCAGAGTGGCACAGGATGTCACAAAGGCATAAGATGCCGCCCCCGATGAATGCGATGAATATGATGGAAGGCATAAAATTGTTAGGTTGAGCAACTGAAAATATACCACATTGAATTATACTCAACAAGCTGAAAAAGAGTTTAGATTAGTTCATTGAGACCGGAAAGAAATGATACAGAAGACAGTGTATATATACAAAGGGTGAGTGAGTTCACTGAGGGCTGGATGTCCCTTGAGATAATCAATGGAGAATGATGAATACCATGACAAAAAAAAGAAAACCGGCCTAGACTAAGGAAAGATGCTGTGGGGATTCATGAAAGGTGGAGCATATAAGGACTTAGCAGAGTGAGGGTGGGTCACATATTGTTTGTAGCATCAGTTATACATAATGATAAAAAAGGGCAGCCTTGAAGGACCTATAGTTAGCGATGAGTCTTGAGTATGGAGGGAGGGAATTCCAAGTAGTTTCTTGTAACTTGTTCAGATTATGGTTGTGTGCATTTGAGGACTGACAAATACTCCTAATGAGCACATACACATAAAGCTAAAGGATCAAGTACTATAAACCATTACTCTGTAACTTTTTGGTTACCTATTTTTTCCCGTGTCATTTGGTACATCCAAATGTAGATAATTGACTGGAGAAGTAAAAAATGCAGAGGAATTTAGTTGCCAAGCAAGTGGAGTAAAGTGCACTTAAAATAAAATGTACAAGTGGTCAAAATGACCTATGATGTACTTGACCTATGATATCAAAATGACCTATGATGACCTATGATCTACTATGAAGTGTGAACGACCTTTGACCTAATAGTGCCAGAAAAAGCCAGTTTAGATTTTGGACACCAAAGAAGCCTGAATTTAAGGTTCAATTACAAGTTATAAAGGAACAAGTGAATTTCAAAGACAGTGGCAAGTGACAAGGAATTTCTAATTTCTAATATCATCTGATATTCATCAAGAGGGATTTGATACAACCAGTAACCATACGGAATGTCTTAGAGTCCACTATTACTATCCCATGGAACCAGAAACCTTACAAATCAGGTTCATTGTGGGAAAGAAAATGGAACAAAGTTAACTTCAATATTTAATAATATTAAACTGGAGGTTGGATCAAGCACAATGAAGGAAGTGTGTGAAGACACTGCCTTAAACTGAAAATTGGTATAGCATGTCCTCATGTTTAATGCCAGAATCCTCAGAATGCATATGTTGGGGAGGAAAGGGGGGGGGGCAATAGCTGATCCACACCCCCTTATGCAAACCCATAAAAAGACAAATGTAAAAAGCCTGAAACATCCTTTCGTTAATGGTGCCTTGAAAACCCATTGACTCCTACAGGAGAAAGAAACCTCTATCATTTAAAGACTCCTTTATTTCACTTGAATGAGATTTCAGCATTTGAGTGGTCAGTAGCAAAAGGAGTGTTACTTGATCTACTACAGAGGTTCTCAAACATATTGGGTTCATGACCCCATTTTACTGTGACTCACAACCACCAATTTTTAGATTCCTGAAACTAAAGAGAAAATTGAATACAAACCATATAAAGAAAAGAGATTACATTTCTCCAATTCCACTGTGACCCCCCTGAGGGTTGTGACCAAAAGTTCGAGAACCCCTGATCTATTCTAATGACCCAAAGGGGATGAGGGAAGGAGGTGAGCAGTGAGCAGAGAAGTGGTGGTGGGAATGAGATGGAGTACTACTGGGTGCATTTATGCTTAAATCTAATTTGGCATTTGAGCCAGACCATTATGAAACTTCCCACAGGGACAATAAAAAAAGCATAAAACTGTGCTGGACTTGTCTGTTCCTAGCAAGAAGTAGCTATCACCAATACCCCTAGTGAGGAGTCTCTCCCGTAGTTCTGCATTTCTTTATGTCTTCTCACCTTCCTATCACCATTGTTGTAGAATATGATATATGTTTGAAGCTGGAAGTCTTAGGAACTTGGCTTCATGGGTTTTTCTTTTGGAGCATCCTGTGCTTAACTTCAATTCATATCAGTTCAGGAGTTGTGATGCCTAACTGCCATGTTAAATTTGACTTCCAAACAAAAATCTGACATTTAAAAGGGCAACTTGAATAAAGGCTCATCAGTGCACTAGTCACATTAATTTTCCTATGAAACCATTCCACACTATTATAAGCTTCCTTTGAGTGGTCTAATACACCATCACTAACATTCTTCATTAACATCTATCTTGAACAGGATATTCCAATGAAAGGATCTGATCAAGAAATACTACTAGTTCACCAGATTTGTAGAGGTAGAACAAAGAAGCTGGAAAATATGCATGAAAGAAACAATTCATTGAATGCTGTCCTGGTTTCCAAGAACATGTGCAAGGTACACATGTCCATCATATTAAGGTTGTAAACCCTCAGACTGGGGTATAGGTAGAAATCATTTTGACATCAATCCTTTTGACCCTGCATTCAAATGGGTCCAATGAATTCAATAACTGGTACAGTTCGGTTGCTCATAAGTGGTAACAAATGTATTTTCATTTAATTCAAATCTGAGGTCACCTGAAAATTTTCTGCATAAAATATGTCCATCAATGAAATGACTCCATGACTGACCAGGAATAATAGTAGAAGGCTCGAGAGGAAGCTCATTGCATGTACTCAGGTTGTGGTCTTGGCTAGGGTGAAATTCTGTCCTCAGGAACTGATATTGTTTCTCACCTTTCTTTCCTTTGAGGAAGGCCTGTCAAAATCATCACAGACAATTTCATTAACCCTTTAAGTGTTGTGTGGCTGATTTTTTTGGCCATGGCTTTTCGTTAGGTTTCTCCCTTGATGTAGTTGAGGTTCTTGTTGGTAGAGGGCATACAAATCAGCCTTCTGCATTTTTGGAAAGAGTAGACATGGCCAAAAAATCAGCAGCATGGCAATGAGAGGGTTAACATTCCACCTCTCCTGTGCAGCACCAGGGGCTAGGGAGGGCACGTGCAACCCCACTTTCTAAGAAAGAAAGTCAAAGCAAAAACCTGAAATGCATCCGAACAGTATCCCAGAGTTCCTGTGCCCCCCCCACTATTTCCTTCCATGTCATGCTCCCACACGTCCCACTTCTGTCATCCAACTTCTTCCATCTCCAGGTGTTACCAAACATGATTGCAAACCATAGATATATTTTACAGTATGACTGAAAGGCAAAAATATCTAAGCAACAAAAACCTCATTGGAATCTATATCTTCTAATTTTCCTGTGGGTGCTTATTGTTGAATTACCTGAAATGAGAACTCACAAGCGCTGTTTGATGAGGGTCTCAGAAAAAATTCCTTCCCTCTTGCACACATAACTGAGAAAAGAAGCAATTACATGAATTACATGGTCAGAGAAAGGATAGCCTTAGCTCTGATGCATAAGAATTTTATTTACCCCTCATCTGTCTTAGTCCATGCCAAGAGCTACACTTGACAGTGTGGCTTCTGCTTGGTAACCCCATATCTACAAGTATGTTTCTTCTGATGATCATTTACAGTGTTTTTCACTTGAGTTGGGCATTTTTTCTCTTGACTTCGACAAAGGTGCATGGTGAGGGTGATATCGCGGATCGACGCAGAAACTAGGAGTTCCATACTTAAGTGCAGATGTCGTGATGACATTGGTGACAACGATGATGATTAATTTCCTGCGGAAGAGAGGAAAACCAATGTGAACCTTCCCTAATACACAATATATTGAAATGATAATTTAATGTCGTAGTGAAAACTAGGCTTTCGTATCACCCAATACTGTTTTCCTAATATTTCAATAAAACAGATGAAGTTTTGGACATCGTTCCAGGGTTCTGAAGTATCATTCCCCACGCAGAACTCGCGTAGGTTAGATTAGGCCTATCTAACGTGGATCTGGGATTGTCCATCGAAGTCCGATCCAGTGTTTCTACATCGTTGAGCCGATGGGAAATTAAAAACGTAGACCCTTTTTTTTAATAGGCTGCAAGGAAGGTCTAACGTTGACAACATGGCTATGCCTGCGGTTCATCGTATTCAGTACATAGGTTGTGATTCATGTGAAAAAGCCTAAATATTCGAAGAGATAGATGTCACTAGTCACCAGGGGCACCCGCGCCCTCGCCTCCTCTCTGAATACCCCTCGCATCGTTGTCTTAGTCAAGTGAAAAATTGTCTAACTGAAGTGAAAAACACTAATAATTTTTCATTACTATGTTCCTTAATCTCTGCAAGGAAGATGGGCGGAGCACAGTCTCATCCTACTGATGAAGTTCCACTACTCTTTCCTTGCATTCTGTTATTTTTTAAATTCCCTTGCTTGTTTAGGGCATTGAGAATGAAAAACAGGTGCATTCAACTAGTCAAGAAATCAGCCTTTCTGCTTCAGATGATGCATTTATAACCCGAGGAGGTATCTAGGCTTCCAGGAAGATATGAAAAAGACTCACTTGTATAAATATGGGTTTTGTGTCATCAAAGGACCTAGATGTGCTGACATCAAATCTAATCTTGATCCAGATGGGGTCACTTTGGCCATTATGTTTCTGGATCTCGCCCTTCACTTCCCCATCACATATGGTGTAATTTCTCTTCCAGTCAATTATGCTGGAAGACTATTTAAAAAGTTAGATTTTAACAGTATTACACCACAAAATGTCCAAGTCCATATTCCTAGCCAACCCCATGCACAATTGACATTCTTCTAGTGTTTTTCACTTGAGTTAGACATTTTTTCACTTGACTTCGACAACGGTGCACGGTGAGGGTGATATAGCGGATCGACGCAGAGACGAGGAGTTCCATACTTAAGTGCAGATGTCGTGATGACATTGACGACAACGATGATGATTAATTTCCTGCTAAAGAGAGGAAAACCAATATGAACCTTCCCTAATACACAATATATTGAAATGATAATTTAATGTCGTAGTGAAAAACTAGGCTTTCGTGTCACCCATTACTGTTTTCCTAATATTTCAATAAAACAGAAAGAGGAAAACCACTATGAACCTTCCTTAATACACAATATATTGAAATGATAATTTAATGTCGTAGTGAAAAACTAGGCTTTCGTGTCACCCATTACTGTTTTCCTAATATTTCAATAAAACAGATGACGTTTTGGGCATCGTTCCTGGGTTCCTGGGTATCATTCCCCACGCAGAACTCAACGTAGGCTAAATTAGGCCTATCGAACGTGGATCTGGGATTGTCCATCGAAGTCCGATCCAGTGTTTCTACATCGTTGAGCCGATGTATTGAAAACTTTGAGACTTTTTATTTAAATAGACTGCAAGGAAGGTCTCCCGTTGACAACATGGCTATGCATGCGGTTCATCGTTTCCAGTACATAGTTTGATTCATGTGAAAAAGCCTAAATATTCTAAGGAAAGAAAGATGTCGCTGGTCGCCAGGGGCACCAGCGCCCTCGCCTTCTCTCTGAATACCCCTCGCATCGGTGTCTTAGTCAAGTGAAAAATTGTCTAACTGAAGTGAAAAATACTGTACCAAGAGCCTAGATGATAGAAATTTCAGTCTAGACAGTAATTAGGCCTAACAGGCTGGATGAACCATTAAGGATTCAGGTTCAAGGGACATGTAGAGGCACTTTGATCCTTGATGATGTCAAGTGCCAAGGACTCACATTCACATGTAAGAGAGGCTCATCGTTTTTAAAGGGTGAAATCTTGTAGGAGCACATCCACCAACTACCTAGTCCCTTACAACAATACTGTTTCTTTTCTAGAGTTGTCCATGAAGGCAAATAGCCTCATTTTAAACTTAGTCATGTCAGATATCATCCCCCATCATCATTCATGCCAGTTGACTTTTGTGCCATTCTCAACTATCTCCTTCCAATAAAGCTGACCAAATGTCACTTAAATCGGTATTATCAACTTTGAGTGCAGCTGAACATATGATTACCATTGTACCTAATAATCATAGCTAAGTAGTACCCATACCCTGTGTTGCAGCAATGCATGCCATTCATTTTGGGCATTTGGCCTATTTTTGTTGGCAAACCTTTGAACTTCAAAGTACCTTTCTGTCCCAGGAGCCTTCAATGGAAAATCAATTAAGTCCATTTTATTACCTACTGTGAGGGGGCTTCAAACATTCATGTTTGATGTCCCTTTACATCAGAATAATTTCTTAGTTGCCTTTTTTTTCAGAGTTGATTTTTCATTCTTCCATCTTGCATAAAAAGTAGATATTTGGAGATACAACAGGCTACGCTAATTGTGATCACATTAGCGTTATGTTTAGGGCGTTCTTATAACATTAAATGGCTGACAATAGGCAGTGATCAATAAAACTCAGAATGCAGTAACTTTCATCATCAAATTGCCTTTAATAGAAATGGTTGTGAAAATTCAACTTGGAGAGGATAAAGATTCCCTCACCCTTCATTCTAGATTCAAGGCTTTCATTCAGATATTAATATGAATCAAAGCTGTTTCTAGCTCTCTCATTACAGCCTGGAGAAGTGTCTCCAAACTCCCATCAAGGAATCCCTTATTCTTTCCCTGTGATTCAGTAACCACTCAGACAGACAGGTAACTGATTGTAGCAATGACATGAAAAACAGAAAATTGTACATCAACTATGGGACTTGATTTGGTTCTCAAGATATGATCACACTCTTCTGCTGACAAAAACAACCAGTGACAACTATTAGCAATGTACATTGAAGTGCACCTATTAAATTAACTTCTACATGACTTCCATTAGACATCTATATTCTATACTGAAATGACTCCATAATTTATTCATCAACCAGACTGCTTCTGGTATTTAGCCCAATGTATCTGTTCAAACCCTTTTCAGATTGAATGTTTCCCCTTGAGGACTGAAAAAAGGAAAAATTACAACAAAGGATCTGTTTCTCAAGACCAGCAGTGACTGATGGGAGGCGCTCTTATGGTAGGATAAGAATTTAATCTGGAAACTGTGCACAATGTCTCTTGCAATTAAAAAATCACTTAGCTTTTTTCCAAGGAGTTCATGGACTCACCTTGATCTCAAAGCTCATTGCAGGGGGTTTCACATTGCTTGGATCTTCATGCACATGTCCCTCAATATCCATCAATGTGCCTTCATAATCCCTCTTACACACTGTCCCTCTTGTATTTCCCACTATCTCACCTTGCATCAATATGCAAAATCTGTCATCTGAACCTGCAAAGGGAAAGTTCATCTTATCAATTTATTTTCTTTNACATTCACATGTAAGAGAGGCTCATCGTTTTTAAAGGGTGAAATCTTGTAGGAGCACATCCACCAACTACCTAGTCCCTTACAACAATACTGTTTCTTTTCTAGAGTTGTCCATGAAGGCAAATAGCCTCATTTTAAACTTAGTCATGTCAGATATCATCCCCCATCATCATTCATGCCAGTTGACTTTTGTGCCATTCTCAACTATCTCCTTCCAATAAAGCTGACCAAATGTCACTTAAATCGGTATTATCAACTTTGAGTGCAGCTGAACATATGATTACCATTGTACCTAATAATCATAGCTAAGTAGTACCCATACCCTGTGTTGCAGCAATGCATGCCATTCATTTTGGGCATTTGGCCTATTTTTGTTGGCAAACCTTTGAACTTCAAAGTACCTTTCTGTCCCAGGAGCCTGCAATGGAAAATCAATTAAGTCCATTTTATTACCTACCGTGAGGGGGCTTCAAACATTCATGTTTGATGTCTCTTCACATCAGAATAATTTCTTAGTTGCCTTTTTTTTCAGAATTGATTTTTCATTCTTCCATCTTGCATAAAAAGTAGATATTTGGAGATACCACAGGCTACGCTAATTGTGATCACATTAGCGTTATGTTTAGGGCGTTCTTATAACATTAAATGGCTGACAATAGGCAGTGATCAATAAAACTCAGAATGCAGTAACTTTCATCATCAAATCGCCTTTAATAGAAATGGTTGTGAAAATTCAACTTGGAGAGGGTAAAGATTCCTTCACCCTTCACTCTAGATTCAAGGCTTTCATTCAGATATTAATATGAATCAAGGCTGTTTCTAGCTCTCTCATTACAGCCTGGAGAAGTGTCTCCAAACTCCCATCAAGGAATCCCTTATTCTTTCCCTGTGATTCAGTAACCACTCAGATAGACAGGTAACTGATTGTAGCAATGACATGAAAAACAGAAAATTGTACATCAACTATGGGACTTGATTTGGTTCTCAAGATATGATCACACTCTTCTGCTGACAAAAACAACCAGTGACAACTATTAGCAATGTACATTGAAGTGCACCTATTAAATTAACTTCTACATTACTTCCATTAGACATCTATATTCTATACTGAAATGACTCCATAATTTATTCATCAACCAGACTGCTTCTGGTATTTAGCCCAATGTATCTGTTCAAACCCTTTTCAGATTGAATGTTTCCCCTTGAGGACTGAAAAAAGGAAAAATTACAACAAAGGATCTGTTTCTCAAGACCAGCAGTGACTGATGGGAGGCGCTCTTATGGTAGGATAAGAATTTAATCTGGAAACTGTGCACAATGTCTCTTGCAATTAAAAAATCACTTAGCTTTTTTCCAAGGAGTTCATGGACTCACCTTGATCTCAAAGCTCATTGCAGGGGGTTTCACATTGCTTGGATCTTCATGCACATGTCCCTCAATATCCATCAATGTGCCTTCATAATCCCTCTTACACACTGTCCCTCTTGTATTTCCCACTATCTCACCTTGCATCAATATGCAAAATCTGTCATCTGAACCTGCAAAGGGAAAGTTCATCTTATCAATTTATTTTCTTTATAATATTTTAAAAAGTAGCCCCAGGAATACATTCAGGTAAACAGTGATCTTGGGATGAGTTGATACACATATATATAAAAGCGAGGTTGTACTGATGTATTGGCAACCACAGGTAATGACTGACAATATAGTACCATTGGCACCATCAGCAGGCTTGCAGGCTGCCAGTGCCAAGGTCAAACGTGAAAGAAGAAGAAAAAGAAAAAAACTTGAACAGGTATTGGTAGCAGTTTCTCAATGGCAAGAGGAAAAAATCAGCTGTCTCGATGCATGGATCTCATTTTTGATGGTTGAGATGCACTGTAGGCTTCATTACCCATTGCAAAGGTCACACTTCTTCCCCCCACCACTTGCCGATCACAAGCAAGAGATCATGAAAGATGGAGAGAGGTCAGTGCCTAGACTTACTTGATCACAACAAGTAATGATTCAAGTGCCCCACCAAATGCACCAAGAAAAGAGTGAATCTGCCAATGCACCCTCTCTGCCCCTGGGTGGATTGATGTACTATCAACTTCAAGTCAATCATGGACATAACCAAAACACCCAGAATGACATCCCTGTAAAAACTGAATTTGGCTTCCTCACAGGTCAATATTACTGTAATAAATATGAAGTGGAGTACTCTTTCTCTACACATCCTAATATGCACTGGCTAATAGGTATGAGATCACATTTGGACATCAGTCCATTAACCAAATGTGGCCATCAGTACAGCCTTCATAAAAACCATCACCTTCAGTTAACAAATGCCAGAAACAAAATTCTCCCATCTTACATACCACTGGCATTTGGAGAATGTATGCTAACACATCGCAAAATTTCAGTGTAAAGCCTCATGAATGAGGACCTTAGAGATAAACTCACCTGATGTACCACTTAGAGATTGAAGAATGATGAGTATTAATTCTCTTGGAATCTTTGGCATCATATGTAGGAGGGATGCACCACAATTCACCTCACTCACCAAACCTTGATGCAAGAGAAGTAAGCAGGATATATCAGGACCACAACTCATTGCTGGCAATCACTCAATTAAGTTAAGACATTGCATGCAACTATAATTTGTCATCTGGAGATGTGTCTTCGATGACAATCATTTGCCATATAAAATCCCAAGGAATCTAATGATGGGCTTCCTCTGGATTAACCCTCTCCGTCCTGGTGGGTCTCGGGAGTCTCACAATTTCTTCACATATGTTATAGGGGTAGCCACAACCTTCAGCCTGTGGCAGGATTCAGAGTCCATTTTTATAATAGTTCCATGCATGTTTTCAAGTTGGCAGCAGTCCACAACAAACATAAAGCAGTAACATAAAGCTGCTGTATTTCCTCTGGTACTTCAAAAACAGTGTCATCATTTATATTTATTTCAGCAAAGATATCTTTCTCAGCCAATTTGTTTTGTTTTTGCAAACTAAATAATGGAGAATAGTACAGAAATACTGAGAAAGAGATGATGCAAAACAAGGATATGAGTGCTAGCTGAACTGATTGAATAGCAATATTTTATCAATTTTACTTCTTTTAACTATTTTTTTCAATTTTTACTTGAGGAAACTACCCCAAAATCATTTCATATTACAGAGGCCTTGCTCAATCCCAGAAAGTGTATAGCGCGCAACACACGCGCAACAAGCAGGGTCTAATCAGCAAAGAACCATTTCGAACCGTCAGAAACCTAATTAGTCAATGAAGAAACTTCTATCGTCACGAACACGGTAGACGCCATCAACACTTCACGACTGTGTCAACATCCCCTTAGGGGGCTTGACGCCCTATCACAGGATGCACGACGTCATTTGTTGTGATTACTGAATGTGGGACCATCACACATCGTTGCATTCACTCCCTACAGTAATCGGAATGAAATTCGCGCGTCAAACCAGCATGCCTCCCCTGCTCGGCCAGCGCAAGGTAATAAGACCTGCCTGGGAACGTGGATGGGGAATACGGATCCCAGCGACCGCTCCGTGCATGTGATTGACGGGTGATTCATGCATTCATACACATCACAAGCCGAAGTGTCTTAGGCCGTGATTGGAATAAAGTTCCGTTGCTTTAGTATGAAGAAATCATTGGACTAGCAATCTAGTGGCGACAACGGTGTTGGTGAGTTATGAGGTTTTCGTCGTTAGGTAGGACTGCACTTATATTCTTTCTCTGGCAGATGAGCCTATACTGTCTGTATAGGCTTATCCTTATCCTGAGGAGAACATGGAATCCCATAGGCTTCCTATGGTACTCCTTACAGGAAGGTGGCCAGATGTTCCTGTTTCACAGGGACTGTCCCAGCTTTTAACCCTTTTGTCCCCTTATCTGATAGGCACTATTGACTTCCTGTTATAATTGGCAGACGTTTGTTCGTGGAGACCACTTTATAACTCATGCAGGCCAGCTTTTTAATCTTCATTCCCAGGATAGGGAACGTTTAAAGGCACCTACTTTTACTATGCTCCCATTAAGTTGGGAAGTGTAGTCATTGAAGTATTTGGTTATGTATATGCATGGAAGCTTGCATGGAAGCACATTTTCAGAATTGAGAGAGCAAAACAATTGAAAAAAAAAGCTGATTTGAAGTAAAAAGCTTCAATATGTCATAAAACAACTTAATTCCTTGGGGGAGACAAAGTGGGAGATCATTTACATACAGGAGAAAGAGGAGAGGAGCAAGAACTGATCCTTGGGGGACTCCATCAAAGATTGAAAATGATTGAGAGGTTGCATCTTCTACACTTTAAGATTGCAGTCACACTAAGGTACAATTCAATAAAGCAACCAGGTCAAGGGAGAGGTTAATGCAAAATTTAAGATTGTAAAGTAGCTCCCCAAGCCAAACTTCATTAAATGCCTTCCCTACATCAAAGAAGAGTGCTAGTAGTGGACAGTTATTGTTAGTGGCATTTAAGACATCGTTTTGCAGGTCCAAAGTGCTGTCCAAGTCCAAAGTGCACTTACTGTGACAAAAGCCAGCCCATGCTGCGTGGAGGATCCCCTTACTTTCTAGGAAAGAAGCTAACCTCTTGGTAATTATTCTCTCAAAGGTTTTGCCTAAAACACTAAGTATGCTAATAGACTGGTGAGGAGATAATTTACTGAAGTCTTGATCCAGCTTGGGGATCCATTGCAATGAAAGCTGCCTTCCACACTGGGGGAAAAGTATCTATAAGTAAGGCAAGAGTTGTAAAGTTCAGCAAGAAGCTCAAAAAGTTTAAAGGTACCCATCTGAAGGGCTTTATTGTAGATCTTGTCAGGGCCATGGGCTTTATTAGGTAGAAGAATGGTTTTAATTATTTATTCTACAGTTATGGGGCCTAGAACTTCAACTCCTAGTACACATGGTTTTTAAGAGCAAAATAGCAGTCTGTCCAACAACAAACTTCAGAAAATTGGAACTCACTTTCAAGAAAGTTCTTCACTTACATGTAAGATAGGAAATTGCTGAGCAATAGACTCAAAATAATTTATTTACAAATAAAAAATAAATTGTATCAATTGAGAGAAATGAAATAGTGAATAATGAAATTCATAACTCCATCATCTCTGAGGGACACCTCTGACTCAGGGCTGAAGGAGGAGAAAACAGGAAATTGTCTTTCCTTCAGGTGGGCATCATGGCATTTCATACCTGAAAAATAAGTAGATCCAGCATTGCAAAGCTAGTGGAGATGGAATATGCCATAGCTAGAATTTATGAAGCAGTCATTTTGACCAGTCCAGCAGTTCCACATAAACAGAATGTTTGTATTTAAATGCAACATAGGAAATATTTTGCTTCTTGCATGTGGAGTTTGGCTATCACTATGAGGCTCAATGGGTCAGTGGGCCTCAACTTTCACTCACACCCTTTCCACCATTGAAAGGGTGTGAGTGAAAGTTAAATAAATAAAAATAACCTTTCACCAACACTGTATGGTCACCACACACCTTGAAATAACTGAAGAAGCACCAGATAGCCTTGTTCTGCACAGGGTACAATCAAATACAATAAAAATGACCCGTCTAATGTGAGATAAAAAACGTGACAAAAATGGAAAATCCGATGTGTTATGGTGAGGACTCATTACCTATCCTACCAAGATTGCCATTAGGGTTGTCAGGACTAGGGAGAAGGGGCATTTACATTGATCTTGAACAAGATCTAGGCTTCAATTTTTAGAAAATTTGTATGAACAATGATGGAAAAATTCACATGTAAATAATATTTCAAATTATTTTGCTTCTAGGGTGGTAGTTGCAATATACAAGGGTGGTTCAATACTTACATGAACTTTCTATTCTAGAAAATCAATAGTATAGAAAGAGTCCAAAAGCCTATTATGACAGATAGCCCCAATCTTCAGTGTGATATAGGCCAAGAGAGGAAACCTTGCAAATGTACAATTGGGTGTAGGAACATGGCCTCTGGTGGAATATCCTCAGGGGCCAAAACAGCATTGAATAATAAAATAAATTATGAAAGAGAATGTGAAGGAGGCTGATGAATTCCGAAGATTACAAGCATGGTTTGGGGAAAACTGTCCAGAGAGGAGAAGTGTATTTGATTGTGTGAGAAGTTTCAAAATGGCCAAGAATCCTTGATGATTCCTTGAGTGTGGCCATTCCACCGAGACTGTTGTGAATCTGGTGAATTGAGTATTTTATTCTAGAAAATTGCCGCATTATCGTGCAAGATTTTGCAGCAGAACTAAAGATCAACATTTGAAGAGTCTAAAATATTATCCACATTCCCTTGAAATTGAAAGAGTTTACTGCAAGATGGGTGCATAGAAAACTGACATTTTACCAGAAGGCTCACCAAGTGACCACCATATCGGACCATCTCAACTGCTATGACGGAGAAAAAGAGAACACCCTCAACTGCCTTTTGACGAGCTATGAAATGTGGATTCAGTAATAATGGTGGGATGTAAATAAAAATTGGTAACCATGAGCAGCCAGGCCTGTTATATTTCTTCAAAATATTCGAATACATTGCTCTCATCTAGAAGGAAGAAATGTTCGAAGTAATGGCAACACTCTTCATTGCCTAGACCATGGAGTTTAAATCTCAAGCATCCACCAAAAAAGTCATGCCTACAGGTTTTTTTTTAGACAAAAATGGTCTAATACTACTGGAATATTTGGGCCAAACACAATAATCTATGCCGACAGATACCATCAGACACCACACAAACTTGAGAATGAATTAAGGAACACTGATGCGTGCCTGTTGCATGGCAATGTTCACTCACACATGGCATTCAAGGTTGCACGGCTCATCATCCGCTTTCAATGGACTGTCATCATAAACCCAACTCATAGTCAAGACCTTGCACCCCAGGATTTTCATATACAGTATTTGGACTGATGAAGGCACATTTTCGAGGAGTGCATTTTTCTGGAAGTGAAGACCTTCAGAATGCTGCAACCCTGTGGCTTCATCAAGATATAAACTTTTATTGAGGGGTCATATACTCTCTCATCTTCAGATGGCAGAAGTACATTGATGTGAATGAATAATATTTGAGGAATAGAATAGGCCTGGCTTCTTATGTGCATCAATTTGTATTTACATCCCACCTTTAGTACTATAAACTTGAAGATTGCAGCACAAGTAATAAATTTAAAAAAACACTTCACACTGACAGACCAAGACAGATGCAAGCATTTGAAACAATTACATAATGACCTTTACCTCTTGCTGAAAGCATATCCACCCAGCAAATTGAATAACTATTCTGTACCACTTATATTAAAATTTTCTTTATGAATTATAAGTTAGAAAGATGAAACAGGTTTCAATTGTTTGTCTGACCTGAATTGGTTCATCATTCCTGGGAGTGAGTGTTTTCAGGATATCAATGGACTTCTTGCATCTATTCTTAGCACAGTGGAAAAGGATTGAGACCAGCATAAATAGCAGCATCATAACAAAAATGAAACTTCCTGGAAATGAATCAATGCAGGTGGCATGAATTTCCAAACAAAGGGTACCTTCAAACTTAACACATTCACTACCCAAGTCAACATTGGTTAGTTTACAAAACTCCTGCAAAGAACACCATTGTAGAATAAGGTCAAGTTGAAATGTAGTGCACAAGTAACCCCATAAGCAATAATGCATGGGGAATCTTCAAAGAGAAAACTCACAAAACACACTAGTATGAAGGAAGGAGGGGCATCTGCATGTCAAAAAAAAGTCTCAAAATGGATTTGATTACCAATTACATGAGTTTCCTTATCTTACCTCACACCACCATGCTGCTTTTGAGCTGTTAAATGTGCTGTTTTCATAACAATGAATTTAAATTCTGAAACTACGAACTAAAAATATTCTAAAACTCCTCAGTTGACTAAACTGCTTCCAAAGGCAGTTCTGCCAACTCATTCGCCATTTTGATCAAAGTCTATCGTACTTGAATCTTTGTATGAGCTCATTCTAAACCTCAATCATGATAATCCATCTGGGTCATCCCAGGGCAATAATGAATGCATATCCAGCTTTGCACAAATTCTTCCTTGGCTATGGTACATCCAGGAACCATTAAAAAAAAGGGGATGCCATCCAAATTGGCTGGGTTGATTAATGTGAATTAAATTATAATGCTGAACCTCACATGACGAATTGAAAGGTCAAGTTGAAAGGGTTGATAGTGTTTCCTGGTTTCATCCAATACAGAGAGGCACAAATCTGAAGGCAAAAGCTGCAACCTCCTGATTCTCTGACTATGAGGACACAAGAATATACTTCATACCTGAAATGAGCTGCAACAGAGATGATGTAGAGCATTCTGGGTTTGACTGGGGCCACTTCTCCCCATAAAATGAGATGTTTGACTTCAGGAACTGGACCCTCCTTGCCCCTTTACTTCCTTCTAAGTAAGCCAAAGAGACCAAAGGTAAGTCAAGGTTATTCCATGAGAACTTAACTAAGTTGTGGAAACAGATGACCATGTTCACAAGCAACATTAGCTTTGCTTTGTCCTATTTCTTTTCAATTGTGAAGGCTTGCCACTCCCACTTTTCACTGGCCATGTTCTCAATGAGGAATGCAAATGGCTACTGAAGATAAGATGATCCATTTAGCTGCTGAGGATTATCCCTCCCTCACCCTCCTTCAAGTCACACCCATACAACTCTCAAGGAATGCCGATTCCAGAAAAGAGAAAGTTATGGCTCACCAACATTCATTTTTCCTATGATGGAAATTTCAGTAAGGAATGGCAAATTAGGTACATCAACTGTGTCAATTTCCTCAGTGGGACTTTGAGTGGACTTCATGACAACTGAGGTTGTTGCTACATCCAAGTTACACACTATAACTGAGGTAAAATTGCACATGCCTTATGGGTTCAATGCCAGACCTAGTGCTTTTTGTCACTACAACTGGGGTAATTATAACAGTTCAACTATAATTGTAACATTGCTTTGTCTTTCAGCAGGCACATTAGACACAATTTCCTTATTTTGACTCTTCATCCTTTGATATCACATAGCTTGAACTTCTCTGTGACTGGGTAAGAACCTTTTTTGTTTCAATTTTGCACACCCTGCTAACATAAGTGAGAAACAAAAATTGTCTCTTCTATTTAAATATTGTTCTTCCCGATTAATGTGAAATGTAAAACTTTTAAACATGCTGCCTGACCATCATATCAGCCTCAAGACCTCATAATTCAGACTTAGACCTATTCAGATTATTAGTTGAGTCCTATGTTACTTTTGTAATGATGAAAGTAGAGGTCATGCGCAAACGTAAAAACCAAACAAGCGGCTAAAGTAACATTGCACATACAATATTTTAATTACTGCTAACTTGGTACATGAGTCTATCTGTGGGGAAAACATATATGCAAGGGGGCTTCTTGAAGTTTTAAATGCCCTAGATTTTTGAGCTCCTGAAAATTGCATGGAATTGTCAGTTAGTATCAAGGGGCTGTATAAGCCTTGTAGGGGGAATCAGGGTTCACACTGGCTTTTTTAAATCTTAAGACTTGCTTCAGCTCAGTGGGAACATTTTCAGGTGGTTGTTAATGAGTCCCATGTTTCGCAAATATGAGACCCTCCAAGAAAATATGAGTTGCAGACTCGCCATAGCAAGTTAGCGTGAATCCCGGGAATGTCAAAAGTTCAGTTGCCAAAACTCCAAAACTACATTGTTTGGCACAAGGTGTGTACAACTCATACCAACGTTGGCTATCATGGAACAGGAATCTTTGAGTTGACCCTTTCTCTCTACAACCAAAATGCCTTTGTTAAAGATGTCTATTTTGCAAGTTTGGTAACTGCTCAGAATTGAGCACCTCCAGCAGACAATTCAACAGTTAATCACAGGGCAACATTAGGTGAATGATTTCAGCACTCTCCTGAGTGTTCAAATTTGGAGGAACATGGAGACACAAAGTTGCACTATGAAAATTTACATTAGCTTACTGGAACTAAGCATGCTCAGTCATGCACATCCTTTGAGGAACCCTTGCTTCATAAAATTGATGATAGAAGCACCTGCTATAAAAAGGAGGGTTACTCCTTCAGGGTTTTTGGATGTTTCCACTTACAAAGATGTGCTCGAGCACATAAAATCCAAAATGCAATGAATCTGAAGATATCTAGAAATGAAACAGAATGAAGAAAGAAATGGAGGAATCATAAGAATTGCCACTGTGGTCCTGTTAAGTTAGCTGTTCTGTTGGGCAGAGTCTAATGATGAGCCTCCCTTTTAAGTTTTTTGTGTGTCAAAGCAGTGCATATCTATGAGCTTATGGTTCCTATCTGTTAATAGATATGAAAGGTATACATTTTATTGATGTTCATGGTAAACTAACAGGACTGCAAACTCCTGCTCTAATTTTGAGGATGCGATTGATGAGAAAGAAACGGAAGAGCAGAAATTAGTGTAAGTGGGGTCGATGAGAGGAGCTTCACTTTCTTTTCTCATTTCTTTTTTCTAAATATAATATTTTATTATTAAAAATGATGAGAATTTCTGCAGGCAATCAGCAGAGAATGCCTGCAGCTGGTTCAGCATTACATGCTCCTGTTGCCTCATTTGCAGCCTAAAATAACTGAAAATTTCCTCAATACATCCATTATTGTATTGTGCAGTTACAGTCATCCCCTTTGCTCCTCAGTGCTACCAGAGAGCGCATATTCAGGAACATTACTTTTGCCCCATTCCACTGGAGAAAAGTAACATGAAACAAGGCTTTAAAGGAAAAGATTCCCTGAGGATCAAGTCTCATTTAAGTACTGATAGTCACTAGTGTTTCTTGTTTACTGTTTGAAGAGGACATAAATAAATGTTTGCAACAAAATTTTTTTAGCATTTTTTTAAATTATCCTTTAAGGCACAATCATGTTTTTTTTTCAGGTTTCACTTACCCCATCTCAGCCTACTCCAGGTGGGGTGCATCTGAGCAAGATGTACTATGCCCTGAAAAGTGTCAAAATCTCCATAACTTGAAAGAATTTACTTGTTGAGACTTAGCTTTGTCATCTTGAGTCATAAAAACTTCTTATGCCTCATTTCATGGAACCATACAACTATTACACCAGCTTCCTTATTTCCATTTCCCATAGAACCCAATAACAACCTATCAGAAGACGTCCTGAAAAGAATGATAAAATAAAAGTCTCACATCTATAAACATGGTCTGGCAGTTGGGGTAGGACTGGGAGAAGCTGGACTCAAATCTGGTCCTGAGGAAGACAGGGTTCCCATTGGCAGTCAGGTTTGAAAGGGAGATCACCTGATCACTATCATACATGAAGACAGTAGTCTGCTCGCTTAATTGAAAGGAAGGCACCTGCAAGGGAATTCTGGACTTAGCAGCATCACACCAAGAAATGTAATTAAATATAATTACCACAGATGTAATTAAATATAATTATCACAGAACTAAATTTTAGTTCTATCAATTTCAGTAAACTTTACCATTATAATGCTTCACAAATGGCATTAGTACATCCCTAAACTGTCTTTGTAAAGTTACACTGACACCATGGCACCGAAGTCGGTTTCATGAACTTCTACAAAGAGTGGCAGTAACAATTTTGAGGTCATAAGCCTACCTCAAAATTGTTACTTTCATATGTTTTATAGAAAATCACAATAGCAGACTTCAACACAAGCTACTAAGAGGTCCCATGTCAAGCACGAAGGTCATGTGTCTTATTGCTGCAACTTATTGATTCCATGAAAAAAAGCCTTTTACTTCACATTCTTAATCAAATATTTTCATTGACTCAACATTCATGGAATATGTGTGTATGCATAGTGCCTCAATCTTTTGAGCAATGTATTTCCTTTCAAAGTAGACCTAAGCTATAGGTTGCTTAACCAACATACCCAAGATTGAATTTACACTCATATCAACAACCACAGCCTTACTATGAATGAGAAGGTAATCGCAGGAAAACTTGATATATCAGAAGGAAGAATTGCTGCATGTATTTTGAGATCTCCCTGATCCTCGTATTGAAGCATGCAATCTGCTTCCAGGGATACCTCGAGATCAGGACTGAATGTACACCCTGCAACAAAACACAAAAATAATCAGTTTCTTATTTGTTCCATTTCATGCCTTCAAACAAGCCACAGCATCATTTTCAACACAAACAGTGATCTCAGAATAAGATTATTCACTTGATGGTAGAAACCACACGTAACGTACAAATAATTCTTTGGTAAAGTTATAGGTCGGTTCTACGTGTTCTTGAGAGGTTCCACATTTTTACAAAACTCTTTTAATCGGTGTTCATGGTTGTCGTGATTTTGGTGAAATCTTGAAGAACAAATGAAGATAACCAGAAAAAAAGTACACAAAAAACTGCCCATTTAGATTGTAGAATGTAGAATGGCAACGAGTGCAGTGCCACCTTTGGATAATTTCAAAGTAAAAAGTCAGAATTCTGGAGGCCTTATCTAGTAAACCAACTCCCAAACTTTCTACTTCTGCATACATCTTGCTTGTGTGGATTATGTAACCTACCACCACTTGTCCAATATATGCAAATCTCACAGAAGCCATAAGACTAGTACTATATTGTGTGAGTTTTTAAAAATAAGTATTCCTGAAAACCTCTTGTGTACCACCAGTGGTAGCACATTTCAGAACCATTGGTCTAGTATGTCAATTGTTTTGAGCACTTGAAGGATTTTGATCATTATAATTCATCACTCTCATAAGCAGTGGACTGAACACTAACAACAAACTGTTCTCCAGCAATATTACTAATAACACTTTCACCACATCACATGTTGGAAAATGAATCAATTTCAAACATATTCTAAATTTCTTCTCTCAGGATGCTATGCTCACCACTTCCAAGCAGGAGAACACATAAATGCTACAATAATATTAGGGTGGAAATAATGCCTAGCCACCTTCTAAGGCACAGGCAGTGCAAGAACAAAAGTTCATCAACAAATTTAGCTCACAATACACACTTCAAGAATAAAAATTTTTCCAAGCGTGGTTGTCAATATGAGTGTGTACTCTGGATAATGCTGAAAGAGTTAATGCAATATGTTTTCCCAATCTCACATATAATGAGTAGTAGTATTTGGTATAAGCTAAGAGTCCAAACACCTGGGGTGACATAGGAATATATGAACTCACCCCAAAATCACTGCAAAATGTAAGGAAGGATCAAAGCCGTCTTACCTGATACAAATACACTCAGCAGGTCAAGGAAGTCTAGTATTATGAATCAGTACATCACCATGCGCTCCATTTATACCCTTGCTCAATTCTTGCCTATCCACAGGGAATGGAAAAAGGAAGCAAGTCAGAATTTCCTCACAAAAGAAAGACTTGAACTAGTCAGGATAAATAATGCCTAATAATAATGCCTTTTAACTATTTCATGATCTGTTCTTTGAGTTGGTTGAAAACGAAACATGAGAATTTACGAGAAAGGGAAGCAATTCATCTCTGTACAAGATTTTTTAAACGGATTTTGGCAATTTGGCAACAGGCTGTGAAATTTGTTAAGCAAGAAACTGAATCAGGGAAATTAGGCAATTCACCAGGTAATCTGACTACTAGGAAGTGAATACTCATGAATTACATGGAATTGAAAGAAACAGTCATGTGTTGTTTTTAGATTAAAAAAAGGTGCCAAAAGAAATGGGCCTGAGGTTCTATGGCTACAGAGCATGCAGAGTCAAACTGAACATAAAAGTGGATTTTTACTCACACACCATGATTTCTCTGATACTTATTCCGGCACAACTGGAGGATCAATGATGATAGTGACATGAGATTTAGATGGGAACATCGGCTGATTCAAGCCTTAAATTTCATCATAAAAAATGTAGTTCCTTAATGTGGAGGCAAAAGCATTAATCACAAGTTTTCCAGGGAGAAAGCATACTGAAATGGAAACAAAGTACAAAAATTAATATTCCAACTGCTTCCCATGGTCACTTCAACACCATCACCTAACTGTTATATGTCAAGATGCTTAACACAACATAATGAATCACTCCCAAGCAGGTGAGATGCTGTGCACATAATCTCCAGTCAAGCTATCTCAGTCTACCTTGGTCTCCAATGATCCTCTAAATCATGTCTGTCTATCCCTTAAGTTTGCATTAGCCAATTTGGGTTAAATAATATCTCCTCATCTATCTAGGCAAGATCTCTTATTCATTTTTTATGCTCTGTTCCAGACACAACTTTCTCATGAAATTCTAGTAGGGGGATCAACCACAGCTGCCAAAGCCTATTGTTTACTGGTTCTTCAAAAACCTGCAATTCGCATTTTAACCCCTTTAAAATGTCTCGCATCCTGTAAATTCTTCTACCAATGTTTTTAAATAATGACTTCCCCTTCTTTAGGTCTTTATTACCTAGGCTATTATATTATCTCTATTATCTAGCCATGTTCATCATGGCAAGTTGATGGCCATATTTCTCAAGGATTTACACTCCCAAAACACTTGGCACAAAGAAGACATGCCCTTGAACACTCATCGAATACTTTAATTGAAAGAGGTGGAAAGTTGTGGTGGCTAACACCCCAAATGCACTAGGCCTACAATGCCATGCCATTCATAGCCATAAAAACATTGGTTTACTTTTTTTTTTATCTACTTTAAAAAGGTTTCTTTCAAAATGATTAATGTTTCAGATCTTCATGTAAACATTTTCAAATTTCTGCCCATCAGACAGCCAACATAGCAGCTGTAGTCATCTAGTTGATAGATATCAGTCAGGTAGACTTTTCTCTCGATCTGGTGTTTTGCACATTCAGAAATATTGATTTGTCCTAGTACAAGTCAATACTCAACACTCATTCAGTCTTGAAGTTTTCGCTCTAGTTCAATTGCCAAAGAGTGGCCCTGACCTCATACTTTCACATCTTGGAAAGTACTTGACAATTAAAGGCAAAATTTGGTGGACTTGAAGTTCTGCATAGAGGAATGCAGTGTCAAAGATACTGAGTGAACATATGTTTCATGGATGAGTGGGAATTTTGTATGGATTTGTATGGGTATTTGTCTTTGACCCCAAAACCACGCCATCAAAAGGTCCCAGGATCAACATTTACATAGAACCACATGCTACCAATTGGCTAAACTTTACCTAATCAAGTCCCACAGTTTGTTCTCTCCCAGAACCTGCTTAAATTACATTAAATCCTGTCTCACTTCTTACCCTCCTTACTACTACTATGACTTATCTGCTTTACTTTGGGATCTGCCCTAGGCATAAGTAATGAAGTGAATAGAATAAATGTTGAATATTAATTCCAAGAAAAAAACAAAGAGACTTCTCTGAAAATGTGTATCCTACACTGCTTTCGGTTTGAATTGGGAACCCCTTAAGGCCCTGATACACAAGGCAAGTTCATGCTAGCATGATTCCTGAAGCCACTTCTTCCTGAGAGGCCTGGAGGATCCAATTTTTGTCACATAGCTAATGTTAGATGACATGCAGAGATGTTCAAGCATGGGACTCCCTTGTACACAATCATGATATCTTGAGAACTGGATAATTTCCTATTAAGGTTCCAAAAAGGCAGTGTCTATTGGCCGAGCTGGGAATAATGATCACAAATATCACTTCTTACATAATAGTTTCCTGCAGCCCAAAAAACACAAGTATGTCTTGCAAGGTAAAGGAAGCTGCTTTGCTTGCCTTGTGGGAAGACTTGGAGCAATCTTTTCCACTACATCAGCACAAAACTTGATAGCTCTTCATTATTGTAGTATATCATGGTTGTTTAAAAGGGCTTATATCATGTTAGGTTAAGAAGTAGATGACATGCAACTTAACTAATTTAAGAAGTCTCGTCCTGGAAAGTGGGTAAATTTCAATCAACTTTTGAGATCACCCATTGAGGGCTCTTTTCTCTTCACACAATTAGGGCCTTGAGTGAGCCCTCTACTTGAACTACATAGATTTTATGCATTTTGAAGTTTTCTGAATCTTAATAGTTACTCTTTTTTTTTCAAGTAGCTGAAAAAGATTTATAGTAATACAATGAAAGCTATCACTCTGGAATACACATCTTTTAGGACGTTGACCTAACTTTACAAATTCTTTTCCACTTCAAAAAGCCAGCTTGGCCACAACTTATAGGCCGAGCTCTCTTCTATAGGGTATTGCTCTCATCAACTGAGATGTCATGAGTCAGCCGACTTTCCAGCTCATCCCTTAAGTCAGTGCCAAGCCAATAGACACTGCCTTCAGAAAAACACATCTGATCTTGCAGGGAATGAACCCATTAATGCAAACTCAAAAAATAAATAAATAAAAAGCAGGTAAATGAAGCTGGAGAAATGCACCTCTGCCTCCAGTGGCTTGGGTAGTCTCAATCACTTCCCCTTCCTTTGTTCTCTTTGAAAAACCTCAATTAACTGCTCTTATTATTTCTGTTCCTCATTCATGATCCATGTATTCCTTTTTCACTAGTTCCCATTCACCAAATTCATTGGATTCCAAAGATAGTAAAGGGGTCTTTCATGCTCAACATTTATCCAAAAAGCTCCATCACAGATGACAATCTGACAACCATGCAGTGCAGCAAGATTGACACAGCAGATTCTCAATATCTCAGGCTTTCTCCATTCTCCAATATTGGGGGGGGTATCAACTCAACCCAAAAACAGTGTGAAAAGTAAATATATAACAGGGTGCTGATTCAAGTCCCCAATGCTACCAGCATTTTCATTGTCAAAAAATGTTTAGTCTTTACTTTACTCGAATCATAGAGATTTTATGATATCCCTAAATTCTTCCTTAGAGTTCTTATATACTCAACGTTCATCAAGCATAAATTTTAGCACTATGTCACTTCTGCCTTGTATTTGTCAATGTCACATTCAGAACAGTGAAGTATATTGTTCCTCATCGAAGGGCATCATGCTCCCAATGAGATATAAAACTTGAAATCAATTTTTAACAATAAAAACTTAGGCCTAGGCCAAATACAGAAAAACAAAAACCGCCACCATGTGTTGAGAACTTGATTTTCCCATTCAATAGGCTGCCCTAAATACATCAGCCACGTCTAGCCCATGGGTTCTTTCTACTCTTTGCATTCCACAGGGCTCAGGCAAGGTCAATACCGCACACAAAGTCAGTCACCAGCTCGTCAAGAACATGGAAACCACCACCGTCCCAAAAACCGCCATCAGTCATGTCCCGCTCATGTCCACGCGGCTTTAAAAAGGCTAGCAGGGTAGGTCATACTGGTATCCCCCTCTACGTCCTCTGTTCTCAACTAATGAGCACGACAAAGCCATGGGTTAAGAAAGGAGCCTTCTCCTTCATGTCTCCCGCGAATCTTCAAACGCCTTACCAGGGATGCCGAGCGAGCAGGATCTCCTTTTTCCATTTCCACACTTTCTTGCGGTCCTTATTCGCATTTCTAATTGATCCAGGTTTAACTCTTCGGCTGCGGTTGTCGGCTTTTCTCACACAGAGTGTAACTGCGAGGATTGGCTGAAATCTGATCTCCAAGCGAATTGTTGGAGTTGTGGGTGTCATGGTCGAGCGTTCGTAGGTGACAACGTTTTGGAGGATACTCTCGAGATTCTGTCAGCTAAGTCGTGAGTTAGTTACCTGGCTACTTTGTCGCAGTATCCATAAGATTTCTGATTACTACCTCCAACTTAACATTAGATCAGTATCAATCAGCTTAAATACTTTAATTATTAGCGCATTACTTATAGTATACCTTTTACTACAAGGACAAGGACAGTACAATCTTACCTGGTTAAAACAAGTGCGAAGTACTCAAAAGCATAAATCTAAAGCAGTAGGAGTCTCAATAGGGAACAATAACATTAAGATGCCTAGAAGGTGTGGATACGTTCGGTGCGGGGAATGGGTAGGTGGGACTAGTGAACACGTGGTATGCCAGGTATGCAGAGTTTGTAGCTTGGAGGAGCGACTAGGGGAGCTATTGGGAAGGCTCATTAACGTGGAAGCACTCCGGGGGTTCCCCAGCCTTCCGGACCTTACTGGGAGAGTGGCCCTTTCGTTCTTTGTCAGCACGTCGAGTGCCTACTCCCAGGTGGCTAGTAATTGGGCTCAGGTCGTAAAGGGGGCGAAGGTTAAGCGATCCCAGGAGGCAGTC